GGTGTTCCATGACAGTAAATATTTACTGCTGCCACCAGTGTACTGTGTCTGAAATGTATAACCAAAAAATACTGCAGCAACTTGCCAAGGCCGCTTCGACAGCACTTCCCAACACGCAATCATTAGCATTAGAAAGATAAGGTGCAAACTGGAGAGGTGAGAGGCTGGAAAAGCACAGCAGGTTAGACAGCATCCGAGGAACAGGAAAGTCCGTGTTTTGGGCTGAAACTCTTTGTTTACTGTTTGCAAACTCCCCTCCCGTTTTACGTGTCATCCTGACACAGAAAAATTGTGGAACTCCGTTCCTAACAGCTTAAGGGAGTATCTCCTTGATATGAATTGCAGTAGTTATAGAAGGTGGCTTACCAAATCTTCTCCAAAGCAAGTAGAGACAGGCAAGTAATCTTGGCATTGCCAGTAACACTATTATCCTGTGGCTGAATGTTAAAATATTTTTTGTTTCAAAAAGTAGTTAATATATTAGTTTTAAATTGAAGAGCACATTCGCAAATCTTCTCATTGCCATTGATATTTAAATCTGAGTGTTCTCACTTCTGATTTCTATTCCTTCTAACTGAATGTATTTTGTGGTTTAATAAAGAAAGGGTTGGGTGCTGATAAAAATCCACTATCAAATAACTTCAATGCTTGTGCAGCTTAGCCATGGATGATGCAACAGAATGATTTGGTTTATGCAGCATGAATCAGTGCCTTTAGGAGATGGAAAGAGAAATTATTCGAATGAAGTATTAAGTAAGGCAGCCTCAGGGAACTGACAAACAGAACGCATTAATGATAAACCATAATTCTGCATTACATATGTTGAATTATTTAAAAAATGTTTTGAAATGAACTGTTAGTCTCCATGCATAAAGAAAGAAAATTAATGACTGGTCTGAAGCAATATGTGCTTTGTAAATCTGTCAGTTGCCTAATACCTTAGCATCATTCAAATGGATAACTGTTTAGGAGCCACACCTTGAAGTGAAATGTGAGCAGGCAAAAAAATGAGAAGATGAAAATAAAACCATAAATTGCTGCTTTCTTCAGTGACCAGGAAATTAAGAAATTAATATAACACATACTGTGAAGAAACTAATGCCTTGAGCAACCCATCTGTACCTTGGCTGCTATTTCACTCAATGGCTGGGATGTGTTTACAATCTGGTTTCGTGGTGCAATCTCCAAAGAACAGTACCCAACTGTAGTTGTCAGCAGTGAGCACAACATCAACTTATAAATTATAAAATACTTTTGACTTTGGCCTCCAAGGGGATCATAACAGTCGGATGTATGAACCTAGCACCCCAAATGATTGCAATGGAAAAACTTGATGGGCAAGACTTTACTTTTTAAAACTTTTCTGTAATAACTACCCATACTTGACGTAAGTTAAACGTGAATTAACAGGCCAGTTGTAGTTGGTTATAATGTATGCACATTCAACTACTGGTACAACTGAGACAAATCTCTCAAATTTGTTTGCTGATCCAATCAACAGCGTCATATATATCAGCTCCAGAATCTTTCAAATAACTGTCTTTATCATGAAGGATACTAGTCAGAGATGGATTTTTAAACAATAAAAGAATCAAGAGTTGTGGGGAAAAGGCAGGAAAGTAGAATTGATAATTTTCAGATTTGCCATGATCTCGTTAAATGACAGAGTAGACATGATGAGTTGAATGGTTTATTTCTGCTCCTGGGTCTGATGGTCTTGTAGCTTCCCCACTTCCAGCATTTAGCCTGGTCTTGCCAGCAGCAGACAAAACATGCTGGGTTCCACGGGTACGGTCTTTGTAGCAATACAAGTCTGCAGAACCTCCTCAACTATGCCTGTGACGACTTTGATGGAGTAGGTCCACTAATAATATCTTCAACTAGCAGAAAAAACTGTAGCCACCGCTCCCACCTGGATCCAGCCTCTGTCATCTATAAATTGCTTATATTGCACCACTTAGATCATTGCCTGAGCTTGCATTGCTCAGTGTTTTTTACTAGTTCCACCCAGATTGTTTCCCCAGGAGTTTGGATTGCAATCTTGGTTTTGCTAGCAATGCAAAGGTTCAGTTCAATTTCCCCCATTCACTTAGGGTGTGTATCTCAGAGAATACAAGCTTTGAAACTAGGGATTTCATTGCAACACAATAAAATATCTCGAGACTTCAAGGAGCATTTTAGATAATTTAAATCGATATGGAACAGTTAAGCTGAAGGTTGGTTAGTCTTTAAGAAGTCTTAAAAATTGGAAAAATGGCAGAAACGTACAGCGAGGGACCATCAGAGCTTACAATGTAGTCTGTTAGAAGTAAGGCCAACAATGCTGAAGCAGTTAAGAACAGGGATGTTCAAGGGATGGGGATTAGATGAACGCAAACATGTTGGGGAGTCATAGGGCTGGAGGTGTTTAAAGAGCAAGGGAGGGCTGATGCCAAGGGAAGGTTTGAAAAGAAGGAGAAGTTTAATACTGAAGTGTTGCTTGACCAAGAGCTAATGTAGATTGTGAACACATTTATTCATTTATGGCTGCAGTTCCTTTTATTTTGTTCATTTGTTCGTGTGCTTTTCTGCAGCTTTTAAAAGAGTTGTTGTTGTACCTGTTCTGTGAACTTATTAACTGCTTTTTTTAAAATGACTTTTTGATTCTGTATATTTTTCTATTAAATTTGAGTATGGGTTAATTTTTAGATCAAAGTATTTTTGCTTGAATAATAGAAGTTGTAATTCTTCCAAGGATTTTGATTTTCCACTACTGCAGGCTGAAACCAGTATGCTGTGCTGTAGTTGATGTCAGACCTTTTATTCAGTGTGAGAGTAATTGACAGCTCCATTGAGCAGTTTCCTGACCATTATGTCACAGCAACAAAAATTAAATCAGCCTGATTCGAACATGCATTGAAAAAAATGTGAAAATGAATTGCCCCAGGAGATAAATCCTGTGCTGCTGCTATGATTTCTCAGAATGACGTCAGAACTCATGAGTGCCAGCAGCTCTTCTGAGTTATGGGCCTTTCCCATCAGTGGAAGAATCTTAGTAATGCAGCATTACTACTGCAATTTCCTGTTCCGTGAAGGGAGAAGGATGCAGATCGTGAATTGAGTGGTGCAGATGTGGGATTGCTGCCTGTATGTAGTTTTACAACTACAGCAATAATGCTGTCAATTTATGTGGAACCTTAGTGTATACTTGCATAATTCGTCTGCAGCATATTGTAGGAAATTGCTAATCATCAACTGACGTACTTCTTAAGACTCCACTTGAATAGAAGCAGATATTATTGATGTTTTTACAGTGCAAGATACTATAATTCTTTTGAAACCAAGAAGCCAGTGTGCAGCACATGACTTAATTTGTAAGTAGGTTAATAATTTCTGGAAATTTTAAATGAAATTGTTTCATGTTGCATTTGTAGTACTTCGTCTGAGATCGAACCACAATATGTTCACTTCTCTACATTGTTAATTTGAGTACGTATCTGTATGTGATTATAATGCTTGAAATTAAATCACCAATCTTGATATAGTAAAACAATCAGAACTGCCACAAGAATATTTCTTGGTCTTTTTGTCTTTATTTGTATCAATTTGAGATATGTGAATGAACAGAAAATAACAAGTATGCATTGGACATAGTTCTGAGGTTTGATGTTGGGTGTAGCTGAGTAGTTTTTCAATTGCTATCATTCTTACCCTGGTATAGAGGATTTAAGAATAATTTGTTTGTCAATGTTGATATTACTCCCTTGAACAGCCGTATGAAGCTATGCTAACTGTGCTTATGATTTAACCCATGAATCCCTTTGAGGTACGGTAGTGTAAGTGACTATGTTATTGGACTTGTAATCAGTAGTCTGAATTAATGATTCAAAAACATGAGGTCAATGCCTACAATGTCAGCTGTTGCATTTAAATTTGGTTAATTAAATAAAATCTGGATTAAAATGTTAGCATCGGTAATGGAAATAATGACATTGTAGGATTGCTCTATCATTGATTTCTGCTCTCGTCTAGCATGATAGTTGGATTGCTAATGTTATAAGTGCATACACATACATTCTGATTTCTGTTTCTTGGGCTTGTGCTGAGTTGTGTTTTTTTTTGCTTTAAGAGCTGGACATGCTAATGGGCCAAAGGACCAGGATAAAATCACATAGCCAACTACCATGTGCAATTTGGCAGAAGCATGTTAGAAGTGGATTACGTACAAAGTTATCTGTAACAGCATATTGCACACTGAGCTGTTAAATCTATCTGATCTTTTCAATTAAACTGAATCCATGCTGTTTAATCTGTGTTACTTGTCAGTAACACAAGAAATATGACATGGTCGCAGTGGTGAGATTTTCTTAAGAAACAAAAGCTGCTATGTGAGCCTGGAAACTACAAGGGCCTCAGACAAGACTTGATGCAACTTCAACGCTGCTTCTACACAGGAACCCCAGAAAATAAAAATCACTTGATAAATAGTGAATACATAATTTGTGAAAAAAATCAAAGGAAACTCAACCCGCAGCTGAAACAGCACAGGGCAGATTAAAAAAAATTCAGGAGCAACATTGCTGAATCTTCTCACGGTGTGTCCATACAGTAGAAAGACTACTATAAATCCCCTAGATATCAGTAGGCTTTGCAAAAGACGGAGCATCAGAAAGATGACAACTAAATCCATGGGCATGAGTCAGAAAGGATTCCATCTGAGTTTAGGCTCTTCAAATAATAATGGAGCTGTGCTTTTTAGATTTAGCTGTTGCAGAACTTCTGTCTGCCTTTCTTTTTTTTTCTCCTTTGTTTTTGTTTTTCTTTTGCTCTTTTCTTTTTCCTTTTCGGTGAGTGCGGTCCCCTTCCTGGGCGGGGTGTTTCCACAGCAACCTGAGCAGTCTCCTTCCTGGAGTATCAGCAACAGTGGGAGTGGTCTCCTTCCCAGGGGTCAGCAGTGGCAGGTTCCTTTGATGAAATAGCGGTCCTGGAAGGTGGCGGTGGCAGCAGCATAAGCCAAAACGATGCACAGGCTGCGTCAGCACGTTGGGCCCAGTGTCGGGTTTGAGCCCAGTTTGGGATCCAGCGGCTGCATGGCTGAGATCTGCCCAGTGTGGGCTCATTGGCGGCGACGACGACGAGTGGAGGCAAGATGGTATTATGTGAAGACTCCGGGTACCCGAGTGTTTGCAGATTGAGGGACGGATTTCTTTTTCTGCCAGCAAGGACTCATGGCGGATGTGGGGTTGTGATCTGGATATTTCCTTTTCTTTTGGCTGTTCTTTTATTTCTGCTTCTGTTTTAATCCTATCTTTTGTATTCTAAGATGGCACCAGAGAGTGGCGAATTTATACACTTTTCATTGTACTCCTGTATTCCTGCACTTGAGTACACGTGACAATAAAAATCTAAATAAGGGAGCTGTGAAAATAAAGATAGCTACTGGAAATAAGGTTGTTGCACAGTCGACATTTCAAAATGACAAGGGAGATGTGGATAAGCTATGGGAAATGCTGGTAAATTGATTTCGTGTGCAAGTGAAGTTTGGAATTCAGCGCCTAAAGCTGATGTCTTGTGGGCAACAGCCACAGGATCAATAGAGCTGTTTGTCAGTTGGTGTTGTGATAAGCGCAAGAAGTGTGATTTTTACAGGCTGAGTAGATAATAGACATCCAAAGTCTAAATAAATCTCTCAGACCTTTTCACAAAGACCTCTTGGTGAAAAAGAACATTTGTGACATTGGTACATTGCTAAAAGATGGCAGAAAATATAAAACGATGTAGTCAGAAAACCGCATCTGCAAGCATGAGGTACAGTTATCAGTAGTTGAGACACTACTGATAAGAAAGCAGGTTATGGAGAAAGTGCAGTTTGTTACATATACTGTCAAACCATCCTGCAATCTTGGCAAGCTGCGGCAAGAAAGGACACTTGGCTCCAAAGATATATCCAGAGGCTACAATTGGATGCAGCCAAAAAAAAATTATGCATAGCAAGTTGGAGTGCACCAGCAACCTGCAGAAACACCAGCTATTACGATCCCAGCTGATGATACTGCTTGACAAGTCAGATCCCAGTATGAAACGTGATTTGATATATCATGTGTTTAATTATTTTTGTTTTGTTAGTTAACATGGTGGTTAGTTTAAGAACAGCTTTTTTCCCCGCTGCTATCAGACTTATCAATGGACCTGTTATATATTAGAGTTGATCTTTCTTTGCACCTTCTCTGTAGCTGTGACACTATGCTCTGCATTCTGTTCTATTACCCTGCTGTACTTACGTAAGGTATGATTTGTCTAGTTAGCGTGCAAAACAACACTTCACTGTATCTTTGTACATGTGATATAGTAAATCAAATCAAATCAAATCAAATCAAAGAGTCATATAGCACAGAAACAGGCTCTTTGGTCCAACTTGTCCACACTGACCAAGTTTCTTAAACTGAACTAGTCTCATTTTCCTGCATTAGGCCCATATCTTTCGAAATATTTACAATCCATTTACCTGTCCACATGTCTTTTAAATGTTGTAATTGTACTTGCCTCTACCACTTCTTATGGCAGCTTGTTCTACATACGTACCACCCTGTGCGTGAAAAAATTGCCTCTCAGGTCCCTTTTATATCTTGCCCCCTCGCCTTAAACCTATGCCCTCTAGTTTTGAACTCCCCCACCCTGGGGAAAAGACCTTGGCTATTCACCTTATCTATGCCCCTCAGATTTTATAAACTTCTATAAGATCACCCTTCAGCCTCCTATGCTCCTGGAAAAAATGTCCTAGCCTATCCAGTCTCTACTTACAACTCAAACTTTCTAGTCTTGGTAACATCCTTGTAAATCTTTTTTGTACTATTTCAGTTTAATGCCGTCCTTCCTATAGCAGGGTGACCAGAATTGTACGCAGTACTCCAAGTGTGGTCTTAACAATGTCTTGTACAGCTGTGACATGACATTCAAACTCGTATAGTCAATGCTTTGACCGATAAAGGCAAACATCTTCACCACCTTGTCTACTTGTGATGCCACTTTCAAGGAACAATGTATTTGCACCCCGAGATTTTTCTGTTCTAGAACACTCCCCATGGCCCAACCTTTAACTGTGCAAGTCCTGTCCTGGTTTGTCTTAATGAAATGGAATATCTCACATTTATCTGAATTAAACTCCATCTACCGTTCCTCAGCCCATTGATCCAGTTCACCATGATCCACTTGTACTCTTAGATAAACAACTTCACTGCCAACTATACCCTCAATTGTGGTGTCAGTGAAACATTTTTGCATGAGGATGTAGTTGTTCTTTAACAACAGTAAGTAATTTTTTGTTCAAAAGTGAGGAAACAAACCAAGCAAATAATTAAAAAGATTTTAATGCAAACGTTAACACAAAGTTTCAACTTGTTTCCCAACACAATCCATTAGATACTCACATTTAGAGCAATTATACTCTTATTTCAACTTTAAGTTTCTTCTTAACTGACTCCTTCCGTTTGCTGTTTCTTGAAATGAAGAGAGCATTCTATGCTTGTTCTACAAGTCTGATGGCTTAAACAACTCAATTCTAACAACCTGAAGATTTTTATCCCAAACTCTCCTGGCTTTGACTTCACAAGCTACTCAAAAAAAATACTGTCACTACAGTAACGTCTTTCCTCTGAAGCGAGCTGAGCTAAACCCTGCTAAGAGAGAAACTAAAAAATGTGCTTCTGAACTTAACTTTTATTTCTTCTCAACTAAAACACTGGTGTTTTCTGCTCTGAAATAAAAAAAAATAGTTTTATGTATTTCCAGTACCTGCCATAAACCCAAAAATGTAGATATCTTATTCCATTAATCCCATGGTCACGGTTCTCCCATGTCTTTGATTGCAGTCACATGCCTTCTTAGAGCTTGCTTTATTCAGTAAGCAAGCAGGGAAACTGCAATATTTTATACATTCAGAATCAAGTACGGCTTAGCACAAATGAAATACTCAGTCTTAATTTATATCTTCTTTTATACACAGAGACAGGTTGTCACAGATTAAAACAATGGTTCTCAATTTCTCTTGGTTGAAGGGTCCCTTTTCCAGATGACAATGTATTTTCTGTCTACATCAATATTGTAATAATATGAAAGTTGTACATGTAAAGAGTGTTTTGATAATGCTTTAAAGATGACAGGTTTTTCAGATACAGCCATCTGTGAGATGGGTGTGCTTGCTGTTCATGGCAGTATCTGTGTATTTGCACCTGATGTTTGACAGTGACACTTTGTAAACTATTCACTTGCTGCCAATGAGGCCTGCACTGCACTTTTATTGCTGCCATAACAATGAAATGATGCTTCACAAATCTACATTATTTGGTGATTCTGGATACTTTGCAGCAATGGGTGACCAAACTGGTGTCATATAGATTTCTGAAACTGATTTTGGTGAGCAGTTTCACTAGCTCCTTTACTGTTTTTCCTCTTGGGCAAGAGGGTGACATAGCAAATACGAAAAACTGTTCTCTAACAGTCGTGTATATCTGGTTCATATTCTCAAAATGAACACCACACTACTGTGCCCATGTTGCAATATGAAATAAGATCCTTTCTTTCCAACATTCGACTGTCTGTCTGCATCCAGAAACTCATCAGTGGCAGGAGGCCACTTGAACCTTCATTTCTCAGCTGACTTCTTCAAATCTTAATTTTCTTCTTAACTGCTGTGATCTGGTTACTCACTTTGAGTATGATTATGTTGCCCCCTTATATTGATAAATTCTGTGTATTTAGCAGGTCAAAAATGTCAGCAAAGCATGTAGGTTTTGCAATCCATATTGGTCAAAGTGTTGTCAGTTAATGCAAGATAATGCACTAAAAGACATCCCAGAATTACAAAGCTCAGAAACTAGGACTCTGCAAGATCGCCAATGTGCCTCTGCGTAAAACAACATTTTTTAATGTTCTTCACCAATTTCTGAGTACAGCTTTGCAAACAGTTGCAAATTCATGAGTTTTGACTTACAAAATTCCCAGCTGTGACAGCTGCATTTAACACAGTATGTAATTTTGGTAGCATTCTTTTTGAACCAAAGGTTCAGCAAGGCGGCACACAATGTGTTAGAATTATATATGAGTTTTCTGCTCTTATTCTTGTAACAGCCACACTCCTATTGCCTAGCACAGTGGCAGAAATATATGCAAATAGTACAAAATTCTCCTATTTAAGCAATTTGAATTCCATGAAATTATTCACTAGCTTTTTCTAAGCTGGTTGTTCTGGTCATGCCTTTTCTTAAAAAAAAAACTTCTAAAAAATTTTATTTTGGAAAATTAGCGACTAGAAACTAATAAATGTGTTGCGTGATCAGCATTAGTAATCCCATTGAAGTGAATTACAAACTGTTCATACTCAAGAAGCTTTTTTGTGAATTGACATTTATATCTGCATTATGTATGGCTCTGGTAGTACTCGTGTCTTTTCAGTCGGAAGATTGTGGGTTCAAGTCCTACTCCATTATGAAGTAAAGTAATAATATGGCCATTGAGTCCATCATCTCTCTGCCAACTATCTTCAAAAGCAGCTGGTTTCACTTCTCCTCCTTTCTCTAGAATATTGCATATTTTTCCCTCCACAAATGATTATTCAATTTGCCTTCGAAAGCCACCTTAATCTTATGCTGTGCATTCCAGATCCTAACCGCTTCTAATGTTGAAGAGTTTTGTTCATGTTGCTTTCGGTTCTAGATATTTTCCGAGTAAACTTGTTCAGAGATGTTATTACACACCTCTGGAGCAGGTGGGACTTGAACTCAGATCTCCTGGCTCAGAGATAAGAGCATTATTACTGCACAACAAGAGCCTTTTGCCTTTGGTTCTGTTGCCAATCAACTTAATTGGTGTCCTCTGGCTCTCAATCTTTCCACCAATGGGACCAGTTTATCCATCTACTTTGTCCAGACCCCCCGTTGATTTCAAACACCCCTTCTCCATTTAGTCTGTGTAACCGAAGTCCATCACGTGAATCATGATATAATCGATCACATAGGAACATGGGAATGGGAGTAGGCCGTTCAGCCCCTTGAGACTATTCCACCATTCAGTATGATCATGGCTGATCTGTGGCCTAACTCTATACACCTACCTTTGGTCCATATCCCTCAATATCTTTGCTGAACAAAAATTTAT